TATTTTTTTGTTGTTGTCTGCCTTGCTCATTAGACTATAAATTCTGTGAGAGTGAGAACTGTTTTGTTTATGGCTCTATCTATAGAACTGAACAGTGCCCAGAGTGGGTCCACAATACATATTTGTTGAATGAATGAATATATAGACATACCTTCTCCACTATTTTTTCAGATAGCTAAATTTATCCAGTCAGCTTCTCTATCTACTAGTTACAGTGGAATGGGCCAATAATAGTCCAGGTTCTTATGTTCAACAAGAAAAGAATTGCCAAGTGTACAAACAGCTACATTTATTGAAGATCACAGGAGTACCTGTGCTACCATAAGATAAGTCACAGACAGAAAAAGGTGCTGGGGTGACAAAAGCTTTGCACACAGATCAAAGCACACAACAGTAGCAACAATAACAAAGAAGGGGTGGATAAGTCAGGCTTTCAAAATTTAAAGGCCACAGCTGGGCATGGTGGCACAAACCTGTAATCCTAGTACTTGGGAGGCTGAGGCAGGAAGGATTGCTATGAGTTCAAGGCTAGCCTGGGCTACATAGTGAGTTCAAGGCCAGCCTGCATTACAAAGTGAGACTGTCTCAGAAAAAAACTGTCTGCCTAGAATGTAAAGGTCAGGGATATCTGCTTTAGGTGCCTCCCATTAAATCTTTAGGTGTGATTGACAGGGTGCTGAGACATCTTAGGGGTTCTCAACATGCACACTTATCCCAGAATTCACTGTAATCTTAGTTATATTTATGAGATGTAGTACATATTTATAAGACTGTAATAAGATAGGAGTAGGGTAAAGGTGATGAGAAGGGAAATTGAACAACTCTATGATCTCAGCTCTACCATCAGAGATCTCCTAAGCTTTTGTTATTTTATTCTCCACCTCTTTTCGGACTTGGTAACAGGTATAACCATAGGGTACTGTTTAGAATTAAATGGAGGGAAGGGAGTGACTCCCTCAGTTGCACTGTTTCTAACTGTACTAGTACCACTTAAGTTATTTAAGAAAATCAAAACTTTACTATCTGCTAATATGGAAGGATTTCAACAGGCTAACAGTTGTACAATCATGCTGCTCCAAAATAACCTATTTAGGTACTGAAAGGAATTTAGAGATTACCTAATGAACCAAATTCCACAACTTTTTCTTCCAGAGTACAAGTAATCATCAATTCTTTGGTTCTGACACCCTTGTAACAAGAACCATTAGCACCTTCTTTATCCCTGAAAAATATTTTTACTTGTATCACCTATACTATACATTCAAAACTAGTGAAAGGCAGGAAGGAAAACTACTTTCTGAACTGCCTGAATGATTTATACAAGGTTGTCTATTAGTAATGGATTACACTTCTGTACTCAATTACTTGGGAACAAATGCACAGTACTATTGTTCATACACTAGAACTATAAAGTATTGTCCCACACTAGGAGAGTCCTTCAACCCCACAGTTTCACAAGCATACTGAGTCAAACAAAAGAACTGAACAACATAAGGCTGGCTAAAATCTGAAATTGCTCCAGCCTCAAACTTTAAATCAATAGCCTGTGAGAGACCTCAGATGCACTGTGACTCACCATTTTATGAGGCCTGAGACAAGAAACACAATAAAGGTCTCATTCATGACATGAGATAAATAATGGAGCTAAAATAAGTGAGGTAACTAAAAAATATAGTCAGTGGCTGAAATGTTACAGTGCTCATAATAAGAAAAGTAACTCAAGTCCCTGGGGACAGGGAGGAAACTAACTTGTTGACCTATAAAATTAGCAAGTAACATAATTAACACTACAATTAAATGTATAAAATATTGCAAATAAAATACAATTTAAAAATAAGAACTGTGGGTACTGGTTACATCAGGTAAAAAAAATAACAGATCTAAGGAAAGAATTTACTGAGGTACTGTTCACTAAACTATTAGAATGAGGATATTTTTCCCCTTGGCAAAAAAAAAAAAAAAAAAAAAAAAAAAAAAAAAAAAAAAAAAAAGAAGAAGAAGAAAAAAAGACTGAGAGTGAAACAGGAAAGTCCAGCACTGTTCACGGGCAGGAAGAATAAAATAAAACTAGGATAAACTATGATGGCTGAAGGTTGCAATAAAGACAGTCTTGGAAAAAAAAAAAAAAAAAAAGACAGTCTTCAAATTCTCATATGGAGCAGAAACTAATGGAGAAATAAAAGAAAATGTTAAAGTGGCAGGCAGGGAGATCTAGGGAGATGAAGTCTTGAAAAGGGACTGAGGGGCATTCCGCATAGATAATGGAGGAAGTTGGGGAATCCCAGTAGGGAATTTAAATGAATAAAGACAATAGAAATGTAGAGATAGCCTGTGACAGGCATACAGCCAAAAACAATAGCTAATACTTCACTGCTTTTAACTCTCCTCTCAGTACTCTGAATGTGTTCTTTGATAGTGTTATAGCCACTATTATTAATCCTCATTTCACACTGAGGAAATAGCCTCTGAAAATATAATTTGCTAAATTTCATAGTTAATGGCATAGTCAGGCTACCAACACACACAATTTAACTTCACAACTTTATACTCCTTTTCATGAACATCTCAAAATGTAAAAAGAAAGAGAAATGGTATTTCATAGTAGTATAAGCAAATCTTCCATAAGGAATGCTATTTCCTTCTTTTTGATAAACCCACATGCTAGGAAAGCATGCTATCACTGAGCCATATCCCCAGCACCCCTTCCCTCCCCAACCATTTTTTGGAGAGGGTCTCATTATGTAATCTAGGCTGGGCTAGAACTCAACAATCTTCCTGCCTCCTCCCAAATGAGAAGATTACAGGCATGTGCCACCACACCAGGCCCCAGCCCATTTTTAAAATTTCATTTTGAGACTGGGTCTTGCTAAACTGTCTAGGCTGGTTTTGAATTTGGGATAACCTGCCTCAGCCTCCCAAGTAGTTGGGATTACAGGCCTGTACCATCGTACCTAGCAGGATCTTGCAGTCTATAAATTCAAGAATGAGAGTATAGCTCAGTGGGAGAACACTTACCTAGTATGCCTGGGGCCTTGGGTTGGATCCCCAGCACTGGGGTGGGGCTGTGTGGGGGTAGGGAGTCCAGACATCATACCTGTCCACAAAAAACACAAACTAAGGGTAGTGGGAACTCAAATGAGACAGCACTATTCACCAGGTTGTGGAATCAAGGAAAGCTTCAGAGGGAGTAGCATTTCTGATGGGATTTGAGGATAAGGGGGAATTTGGTGTAAAGAACACCATTACATATTAATAGATTCTTGAGGGGATTTGTTTTGGTTGAGATGGGATCTCACTATGTAGCCCAGGGAGGCCTCAAAACTCTTCATTCTCCTGCCTCAACCTTCAGACTGCTGGGATTACAAGTATGTCCCACCTCACCTGGTACTCTTGAGGGTTTTCAGACTGAATTTGAAAGTCCTGGCACTGAATGCCCTCCACAACTAGGTAAGGGGAATGCCAATGAAGATTGTCTTCAGTGGCAGGCTTATGCTGAAATCTTTGCTACCAGTTCAGATTCCAAAGGAACAAAAAGCATTAATTTACTGTCTCCATACACAGCAAATGGTTTGAAAGCAGGCTGTCCATTCTGGCCCTGGCAGAGCTAAACTAAAACAAATTTACATCAATGGGCATCAAACCACCAAGTGCACCCAGTCAGACTGCCTTAGGCCATCTAGACCTCTCCTGTTGGCTAATTTTAACGGTATCAATTGAGAGTTTAACACATGATTAAGCTGGGACTAGGCCAACCTCAGTTTAGCTCTGGATGCCACAAGCCAGTGGTAATATTATAACAGCTAAGTTAGGTAGAAATAAAACACATCAAAACCATGGCCAGACGATGAGACCAGGCCTCAAGATAAAGACAAAATGACCAGGTCTGCATATGCCTCAAAAGACAAACACCGGGCCTAATGAAGTCCAGATAGGTATCAGTCACCCAATTGGGTGACCAAGAACTTCAGAGCCATCATGTCCTAGAAAAAGTCTTTGTTCTTTCCATGCACTCTTTTTATGTGACTTGTTTCTCCACTGGATCATTATTAGCTAAGCAACTATACTTGTAACCTTATTGGTTAATTAATCATAGCTGTAACCCACGTTGTACCCTAGTGGGTTTTTCTTCATAAAACTTCCCTGTAAAGTAGGGTCCCTAGCTACCCATTCAGATCCCCACTCCTGCCTCTCAGGGGCTGTCTTCGCAATAAATATTTTCCTACTCTTTTTTTTTTTTTTTTTTGGTATCGGGGATCGAACTCGGGTCCTTTCTCTTGCAAGGCAGGCGGCGGAACCACTGAGCTAAATCCCCAGCCATATTTTCCTACTCTTAATCTCCATTGGTCCTATAATTCATTCTTCGATTTTAGAGAATTGGCGTATCTGACATCTAACAGGTTGGGAGATATCTTTTCATATTTCATCTCCTGTTTCAGTACAAGGTCAAAACTAGGAAAATTCAAGTACGAATTAAGAAATAGTTATTGTTATTAACAATAGTTACTGTAATGGCGTTAACTATTCCTTAACAAGTTGTGTTAGATATACAAATTTAGTGTTTTTATGCATGGTTTCCTTCACACACTTGAGGTCTGGAGTATAGGGAGGAAGACTGATGAAATAAATTGGTATAACGTAATTATACTCGGGAACACACTTTCTGTCAATGTCTGAGGATTTTCGTAAGATAAAACAACCACCCACGTGCCGGTTTTTCACCGGAAGCCCAAGGGACTCAGGCCTGTGGGTCGCGCGCGCTGCGCTGCCCAGCTCCTGGGCACGACCCTGCACTCTCCGCACCCTGCTTAACGCGCGACGCGGTCATGGAAGCTGAGCTCCTGAGAACCGGCGCGAGCCCCTACTCATCTCCTACATGGGACGCGCATCGCGCAGACTCCAGCGCAGGTGAGTTCACCGGACACTGCCACTACAAGACCAACGGCCGGCAGAGCGCAAGGTGAGCCTGCGCGGTGACGTCACGGCGCGTCATGCGCTGGGTCAAAGTTCGGCCCCGCCCCGCTTCCGCTCGCTGACTCCATCGGCCTGCGCTGCCGCCGCCAACGCCGCTCGTGGCCCGGCTTCGCTCCTAGTTCGCCGTCGCCTTCTCAGAGTGCTGCCTCACAGGCCGCCATGGCGAACGTGGCTGACACCAAGCTGTACGACATCCTGGGCGTCCCGCCCGGCGCCAGCGAGAACGAGCTGAAGAAGGTACCGGGCCGCGGTCGGGCGGAGGGTGCGCGGGGCCTGCGGGGCCTGTGCGGCGGCGGGACGGAGCTGGGCCGGCGGTGGGACCGGCCTCGGCTGACCTTGGGCCGCCGGCTCGCCCGCTCGCTGATGCAGCCGGTGAAACTCGCCCTGTGCAAAGACGTCGGAAATTCTCCTTGCCTCCCTCCTCTGTGCTCAGGAGCTCCGAGACTGGGCTCCTGGCGTTCCGCGCGCCGGGTCACCACCCCGGAAAAACTGGTCGGGGCGCGGTGCCCGGCGTCCAGCCGGTGACTCGCTGCGGGTCAGGGCCGCGGGGCGGGAAGCCAAGGCCGACCCCGCCAGGGCCGAGCCCTGGGGTCTGTTTCTCCGGGCCGCGGCCTCTGGCCTCCAGGCCTCCCGGCTTCGAGCTCCTTCTCCTTTCCTTTTCTGAGAGCCGGAGGCGGCATGGGTCTGTTTGCCAGCTTTGTTCTTGGGTCAGGTAACCCAGACGTCTCCCCGCGTCAGGGATAAACCGCAGGTCCCAGCCCAGCCCCTGAGTGCACACTAAATCGGAAAGGTCTTCCTATCGCTCTTTGCAGTGCTGCAGAAACCTTTCATCTCTAGATTGCAGAGCCACTCAAGGCGTTTCATTAAGCATCCCCAGCATTCGCCTGGGTTTAGGGTATCCAGATTGGTAAACTGAGAAAAATGAGAAAGCTTCTTAGGTGGTAGGACCGGTAGAGTCGAGAGTAAAATGGACTTCCTGTTACCTCACCGGAAATGTTAGTCTGTATTATATAATTCATGAGGTTGTGAATGAAGATTTGAATGCTTCAGGTCTACACCACCTAATTCGGAGTGTGCACACCTCACTAAGACCAAGGTCACTTAGACCCACTTACCACAAATAGTGTGCAAATAGAACACCCCAAAACAACGCCATCTCATGACTTCTTGATGTTACTGTTAGAAAACAGTCTTCAAGGGCAGGGATTCTTGGATTAGCCTAATTCAGAGCTGTGAAACTTAATCATCTATCTCGCATTTTAGGCCCTTCCTGGTATAATTGCTGGCCATCAAATTGTGAAGATATGGAATAATGTTTCAATATTTTGTTTTTCTTTGTAGCGGTCACTTCATTGTATCTGATTTTAACTGAATATAACTTATTCCCGAGTATAGCTGCTGTCTATAAATATCATAAATAGTATTGATGGAAAATTCCAGTCTTGATAGATGTTCTTGGAATGTTATGACTTTAGTACACTGCTTCTCAGAAAAGTAGGTATTAAGTTACTACAAATCTTTAAACTGGTGTTTGTGTATAACCCTTTTTAAAAATCTTTTTTGAAGGCATACAGAAAGTTAGCCAAGGAATATCATCCGGATAAGAATCCAAATGCTGGAGACAAAGTAAGTTATTTTAAAATATTTTTATTCCTGGGGTATTCATTTTAAACTTAAATTACTGTTTGAAAAGAGCAGTGTTGTAGGAAAAAGCCATTTGTATCCATAGATTCAAGTTTTGTATTTTAGTTTTGTAATGGGAATACAATACTACTGACATTCCTAGCAGTAGCAGTAGATGGTGAGTAAGACCAGAATCAAACCAAAGAAAACTTGAAGCTTCTGTTAGAGTTAAATGGGTTCTGGGTTTCTGCAGCCTTCCCCCATTCCTCTGTTTGAAAATCCAACTCTTTTTCTTTATAGTTTAAAGAAATAAGTTTTGCATATGAAGTATTATCAAATCCTGAAAAGCGAGAGTTATATGACAGATATGGAGAACAAGGTCTTCGGGAAGGTAGCAGCGGAGGTGGTGGCATGGATGATATTTTCTCTCACATTTTTGGTGGAGGATTATTCGGCTTCATGGGTAATCAGAGTAGAAGTCGAAATGGCAGAAGAAGAGGAGAGGACATGATGCATCCACTCAAGTAAATATCTTGTTTTTAAATTTTCAAATGGTAGTAGAAGCATCATAGGATGTTCTATGCTTCAGGGGAAAAAAATCTGTTATTGTGTTCATTAGGTAACTAAAAGAATTTGATAATTGGATGTTTGTATTTTGTTTCAAATCTTTCAAGGATGGTTGGTTTCGTTTACTGAGTAGCAAGGCAGTATTTTCATATACTTCTGAGGCCACTTGTTTTAAGATTTAGAATTTCAGGTATGAAGATAATATTCCTTGAAGTAAATTTTCCAAGTTACTTTTTATTTAAAAGCTTATGAAATGAGTGTCTAGTGTGTTTACGTGTTATAGTCACTCATTACTTGATCCTCAGTGCGAACTCTCCTAAAATGGTTTCCATGGAGCTTACTGGCTTCCAGCCTGGCATTAACCTGCCAACATATGAATGTTATCGACCTTGATCTTAGGCTGAGAGTCCAAAAGCCCTCGACAGTATGAAAATAACTGTTTCACTTTGCAAGTTTTATGAGGTATTTTGTGTCATTAATATTTTCATGAACTAATAATGTTTTAACTAGCGAATGCCAAGATTGAGGTTCAAAATTTATATTTAAAATATTTCTTTAAGAAAGTAAAATATTTTATATTTCACATTTGAGTAACTTGGAAGAATTTGTATGTGATTTGTTATTTTGTTTGAGTCTCATCTTTAAATTTGTGTGTATTTTAAAAGAATTTACTCTCAGAAATACTACTTGGGTATCACTCCCAGGAGTAGTATGTGTGCAGCGTGAGTTACTTCTTTCATGTTTTTCTTTGATAGAGGAGTTTCTCTGGTAAAAAAAAGTAAGTAGTCAAAGAAAAAGTAAATAAACTTTAGAATGTTTACTGTACCTTATAGTTCTTCATGTTCTTTTCAGAAATATTTCATACAGTACAGTAAATGCACTTTTCTGTGGCTTTAACATTTTAAAATTTCCTGTTATTACAAACATTGCCTTTTGGGTGGCCTTATTGTATTCCATTTTATGGTGTATTTAATCATGTGCCTTTCATCTGGGTTCTTGCCAGTTTTTTCTGTAATAAATAGTGTTGCTGTAAATGTCTTAAATACAACTGAATTGTCTTGTGGAAGGATCGTGGCAGGCTTTGCTAGATCATTACTCGTATTTTTCCTTTCTGGCTGTTTGTTGCACTGCAGATTTTTATGACTTTTGGGATAGTGATTTTGTATAGTAATTGGAACTTAATATGTAGGGTTTAAAAATGACGTGTCTAAACTTTGGTTAATCATTTTTACCAGGAATATAAAAACAGGTGCAAACAAGATTTTTGTCTAAGGCTAAAATAGAGGCTATCATTATTTCAAAGTGGTGTTGGTAACGTTTTGTCCATTGGTATCTTATCTTGCCTACAGTATATTAAACTTTTAGCTTAAAAAAACAATTTTGAGGAAGTTTAAATACCATAAAATAGAGATAGGAAGGAAGGAAAAAGCTGAGTGATAGAGTGCTTTCCTACCATTCACAAGGCCCTGAGTTTAGTCCCTAGTTGCACAAAAAAAAATAATTTTTTTAAGGAAAGTTTAAAACAAGTATAAAACTAAATTAATAAATGCATTGCTGCCAAATCCTAATTGAATAATATCAGTGAGACTTTTAATATATGTAGTTTCTTTCTTTTCTTTTTATGGGACTGGAGATTGAACCCAAGGCCTTACCTGGCAAGCAACCTGGCATTGAGCTATACACCCAGCCCTGTTTATTCTTTTTCTTTTTTTTTTTAAGATTTAGTTTGGAAATTGATCTTGTAATTCAGATATCCTGTGTGATTATTTTTAATTTTTTTCCCCCTCTACCCCTTTACTGAGGTGTGATGTACAAAAATGCTGTGCATATTTAATACTTACAACTTGCTAAGTCTGGATAACCCCCAGCCCACCCTATGTTGGATGTGGAACCAAGGGCCTGATGCATGCTAGGCAAGCCCTCTATGCCTGAGCTACATCCTCAGCTCTTCAGCCCTTTATTTTGGGACAGGGTCTTGCTCAGTGGCCCAGGCTGACCTTTAACTCCCTGTCCTCCTGCTTCAGCCTCCTGAGTAGGTTGGGATTATAGGCATGCACTGCTGTGCCTTTGATCCATTCTTTTGGGTCATAGACCCAAACTTTGAAAATTTGATAGAAGTTATTCAAACATAACGGTGTTGCTTACGGTTTGGTAGGTTCCCCAGAAAACTAAAACTTGGAGGCCATCTGTTGAAAACCTGTTTTTTCCCTCCTGTCACAATGTAGATAAGAAGACTTGTAAAGGCAGACACAATCTAAGTTCCTTTCTTAAGCAGTAATAAAGCTTTGTAACCATTCTTATTGTCCAGGGAGAGAGAGCAGCCTTTTTTATAAAGCTTGGACTTGGAGTCAGATGCCTTTGTGATCTTAAGCAAGTTTCTTAACCTCTCTGTACTTCAGTTTTACCATGTAAAATGGGAATAATGATTGTACCTCTTTGATGAAGAGTTACTTAAAGGCTCCTGCCTTAAGGTCAGATGAAGGTTGTTTCAGTTTGCTTGAGTTTGTATAGTCATCAGCTCTGTCAGAAATTGTGAGATAGGAAATTGTTGCCCTGATTCTGTAGTTTCTGGTTTTAAGCACCATATTTATAGTCCATAATCTCTGTGAATTTGAACCACAAAATAAAACCTCAGTCAGTTGAATTAGTTTAATGGGAGATCTCTTTTAATTCTGTTATCAGCTATATCTTATTTAAGAAATTGCAAAATTTGGTTGATCCTGATTCTTTTCTCTCCAGAGTATCCCTAGAAGATCTGTATAACGGCAAAACAACCAAACTGCAACTTAGCAAGAATGTACTTTGTAGTGCATGTAGTGGGTAAGTATGTTCCACTTTATGCAGTATATTTTGTACATTCTTTCAATGGCATTCTGAAACTCTATACTAAGTAAAAATTGTGATTTAAAGCTTACTACCCTTGCTCACTTTGACAGCACATACACTAAAACTACCCAACAGAAAGAACATTTTCTGATACCTCTGAAATTAGTTTTAACTCAGGTGCTTGCGCTTGCGCAGCAGGCAACGAAACCACTGAGCTAAATCCCCGGCCCTGAAATTAGTTATTGAGGGTTAAAGATGAAGGTGAAAAAAAGTGCAGTGCCTGCCATGTTCAGGACCCTGGGTTCAGTCCCTGGCCCCACCCCGCAAAGGCACAATTCCTGTTACTGTGACTGACTGGAAAGGTCTGTGGGCAAAAATCTAATTGATATTTTTGTTTGCTTTAGTCAAGGTGGAAAATCTGGAGCTGTCCAGAAGTGTAGTGCTTGTCGAGGTCGAGGTGTACGCATCATGATCAGACAGCTGGCTCCGGGAATGGTGCAGCAGATGCAGTCTGTGTGCTCTGATTGTAATGGAGAAGGTATGTGTACCAGTATTTCTTTGTTTTTATGTTGGAATGGATTGGGAATGCAGGTATTAGAGACTTACAATTTTTCTTCATAGTGAATTTGTACTCAGTAAAGATAAAAAGAGTTCTTAAAGTGTGAAAATTACTTCATTACACATAGGTCCAGTGAACACAGTTATATAGTAGATTTGTGCTATAGTCAGTGAAAGGTTAATCTCTTTATTGGTATTGAGGATAGAGCCCAGGGTATCATTTCTGCTTCTGCTAAGCATACACTCTTACAATGGAACTACACCTGCAGCCCCCCGTAGGTTAGTCTTTTTAATTCCAAAAAGATGGGCAAAATGACTATCCCTTTATAGTTTTAGAGATTATAGTATTTGGTAAGTAATGAGATGGCAGATTAGTTATTCTGATGGAGGATTTTACTGTAAGCTTTAATAAACTTGAGAATAGATACTAGGACTGAAGTTGTTGTTGTTGTTTTCTTGGGGCAGGATCTTGCTTTGTAGTGCACACTGGCCTTAAATTAAGTGTGGTTTGTGTTGGTTTGTTTCGGTTTGGTTTTTTTGATACTGAGGCAGGCAGCGGCCTTAAATTCACTATGTAGCCCAGGTTGGTGTCGAACTTGCAGGGATTCTTCTGCCTCAGCCCCCCAAGTGCTGGGAATATAGGCGTGTACCACCACACCTGGCTAAAGTTCTTTCTTTCTTTTTTTTATTAGTACACATTTGCAGTACATAATGATTATAGTCATCATGGAAAACATTGATACATGTTGAAGTTGTTGTCACAGAAGTAAATATTCTAGGTTTTGTAGGCCAAATAGTTTCTGTCACAACTACTCACCTCTGCCCTTTTACTACTCTTATAACCACTGACTGTGTAAACAAGTGGGCATGTCTGTGTCCTAGTAAGACTTTATAAAAATAAGCAGTTTTCCTGGTTTGCCCTGTGGCATACCTCTGTTCTAGAGCAGTGTTAACCAGTAGTTTTTTGGGTTTTTTTCTGTGATGATGGCCAGTAGGACCAGGTGTACCTCAATGGTAGAGTGCTTGCTGATCATGCTCAAGGCCCTGGGTTTGATCCCCAGCAATACAAAAAAGAAATGTGGAACTGAATTTTTCTTTTGATTAATTTACCTGCTAAATTGGTTTTGCATGCTGGGATGAACCCAGGCCTTGCCTATATTAGGCAGGTGCTCTACCATTAAAATATACCTCCAGCTCTCATTTTAATTAATTTAGGTTTAATCACGTGTGGCTAGTGACTGCCATATTAGACAATGCAGTTGTATAGCACTCTTTTCCAAATTGCTCTTGGAAGTCATGAGATAATTTTAAGTTGGATATATTCCCTTCCTGCATTTTACCTTCTTAAAGTTGCTAACAGTTGCTGATATCAAGAAATCAAAATCAACTGAAAACTTTTCCCATCATTTTGAAGAATTTTTTATAGAACATACTTTGCAAAAGTACTGTTCTTGCCGAACATGGTGGTGCATGCCTGTAACCCCAGCACTTGAGAGATTTAGGCAGGAGGATCACTGGGAGTTCGAGGCCTGCATGGGTGACATAGTGAGTTTAAGTCCAACCTAAACTATATACCAAGACCCTGTCTCAAACAAAACCTCAAGAGTACTGCTCTAGAAATAGTCCCTGAAGTTATTAATTATATACTTCTAACAAAATGTGCCAATAACCAGACATTAGAAACCCAGGTCTTTCTTTTATTTGACAGTATAAATTAAAAGAAGACCTGGGGATAGGGTGTACAGCTCAATGACAGGGTATGTGCTTTGCATGCAGAAGGCCCTGGTTTTGATCTCCAACTCCAAAGCAGACAACAAAAGGAAGCTCTGGTGGGAATCCTGAGCAAGGTTTTGTCTATGAAATAAACTCTGGTACCACCTGTACAATTTAATAATGGGCTATAAAGAATATTTACAGTTTTATTCAAATTGTCTTCTGTCCATTGTTAAGCTAACTCGAAACTAGAACTGAAAAAAAACCTTCACGTAAGCAGTTGTAGATGCTTCAGTGTCTCTCTACCCAAATGTTTTTTTGGTTTTTGGGGGTACCAGGGATTGAGCTCAGGACCTTGTGCCTGTGAGGCAGGTGCAGCACCACTGAGCTAAATCCCTGGCCCCCAAATGTTTTCTTGATTTTTGGTTTTGTTTTAGTTTTAAAAATAGAGTCAAGCCGGGTCTGGTACACGTCTGTAATTCCAGCACTCGGGAGACTGAGGCAGGAGGGTTGCCATGAGTTTGAGGCCAGCCTGCCCTACACAGTGAGTTAAAAGTAGTCAGGAGAATAATACTAAGACATATTACACGCTGAAATAGTGGGTAGCTGGGTCTTTCAGGCAGCCTGAAAGATGTGAGGTTTTATCATTCAGAACAATACTTAAACAAATTTAGCTAGAGATTAAAAGAAGTTCACAAGATGTATTTAATGAATAAAAGACATTATCAAGACTTTTCTTACCTGAGAGTTCAGTATATGGTACTGTTATTAGAAGTTTTAATGACCTCTCTTTCCAGGAGAGGTAATTAATGAAAAGGATCGCTGTAAAAAATGTGAAGGGAAGAAGGTGATTAAAGAAGTCAAGATTCTTGAAGTTCATGTAGACAAAGGCATGAAACATGGACAGAGAATTACATTCACTGGGGAAGCAGACCAGGCTCCAGGAGTGGAACCAGGAGACATTGTTCTTTTGCTGCAGGAGAAAGAACATGAGGTAATTTCCTTTTACTTTTTGTATTTTGTCTTATTTGGAATGGATCTGCTCATGAGAAATAGGGTAACTCTATTTGTTACCCTAAAGTGACAGTGAACATAGCTGAAGTTAAGGGAACAGAGCTGAGCTAAGGCTTCATTCACTCAATAAGCAACCAGAACTGACTTGTGTAAGTAAGACCAGCAAGGGCAGGTGCAGTCAGAAGCCCTGTGGGAGTTAATTTTAGTCCCACCTAGCACTAATCTCTACTAGTATTGTCTCTCTACCTGTTTTCTTGCTTATGAAAATAAAGGCATTGGCCCAAATGGCCTAAGGTGTCTATTTTTCACCATGAAACTCCTTTGATGGGTAATGAATGGACAGGACTTTCGCACCCAGCACTTCTCTGCTTTAAACTGTTGGGTAACTAGATGAGCTTTCTTTGAAAGAAAGGGATCTGGGGTGTTTTTTGTTTTATTCTGTTTTGGGGGGTTTAAAAAATTTTTTTTTTAAAAATTCTTTGTGGTGGTGCATGCCTGTAACTCCAGCACTCAGGAAGCTGAGGCAGGAGGATCATCATGAGTTCAAGGCCAGCCTGAACTACATAGTGAGAGCCAGTCTCAAGAAAGAGGAAAACAAATCCAAAATTCTTATTTGACTCCTGGGCTCAAGCAGTTCTATTTCATTGTCTCTGGTAGCTGGGTCTTACAGGGCAGAATGCACCTGTTTTTAAATGTCTTTTGTAGTATCCTGTCAACCATCATTCATGTAGAATACATCTCTAGAACTGTTCTTAGAACTGTAAGTGTAAAAGCATTTGACAGGAGTCTGCCTTAGTGTCTGATAGCATTGACTTGTCCTCAGAAAGGTTACACAGGTTAACCAACCTCTTTATACTTTTCTCCTGCTTGGTGGTCATTTCTACAGAATTTTTTTTTTTCAGTTAAAACTTTTTTGGTACCAGGGATCGAACTCGGGACCTTCTGCTTGCGAGGCAGGTGGCGGAACCACTGAGCTAAATCCTCGGCCCCAGTTAAAACATTTTTAATCACTTCATCCAGTAGAGAATGGAGCCTTCTTGAACAAATTCTGGGAATTCAATTGTATTCCCTCACTGGGTTGTGACCTGCTTCCCCAGTAGACTCCTTTCAGGGTCCACTAGTCAGCGCATGTTGCAACAAAGCCCTTAGTTACTACAATTTTGGCTTTCCTCCTATGTTTTGCTAACCCTACAAATGACAAGGATATCCCTAGAGGATGAAAAGGAACAAGAGGCAGGAAATTACAATGATACTAAGTGAAAAAGTTTATAGTTACTTAGGCACAGATTAAACTATGTGAATAATATTACAAACATCACTAGGGTGTTTCCATTGATGAACTCACTGGGGCAGTTGATGTCTGGCAGTGCATCAGCATGAAGACAGCGAGGAAGTGAAGAATTAATACTTAGTTGGAAAAGAGGAGATGCTTCTCAGTTTGGGGCAGGTCAGACTAAGTGTTGAAACCATTTACCCTTAAGTTTCAATCTTTAGTATGCTGCATAAATAAACTAGGATTTTAAAAGTAGATTGCTGGGTTTGAAGGGAAAGGACTTAAGTTCTGACTCCTGTTTGGCCTCGCCTCTTAAAATTATTGGCAGCGATGGAATTGCGTGGAATTTCCAACAGAAAGCAAATGTGAAGTTCATCTAGTTCCTTCTTTGTTTTATTATTTCTAGTATACTTGGGCCAAAGATGAGATTTAGGCTTCTTAGTTAATTTATACCACCAAAACTGAATCTTCTGAAGAAAAGTTTTGAACTAAGTTTTAAACTAAGAATAGTTTTGAACTAAAACATTTGTTCAAGAAAAGTAACCGGGGATGGTGGCGCATGCCTGTAATCTTAGCATATCGGTCACTACAAATTGGAGGCCAGTCTGGGCTACATAGGGAGTTCGAGTCTAGTCTGAATTACAGACCCTAGCTCAAAAAACCAAAAAAAGAAAAACTGTAGTTTATTTTGGGTGGTGTCCATCCCTTCCTTCCCAAGGAATTGAGGCCATAATGAGATTAGTATGGGTGCTACAGCTGAAACAGTATAAATCTTCTGATCAGAAAACACTTGTCTTGGCACTGCTATATCATGTGCATTTGTTATGCTGTGTGTATATGTTTGTATTTCAGTGATCTGGCTACTACTGCAGTTCATTCGTGTAGTGCAGAACCAGTGTCTGGGGATATTAATCCTTCCTCTATAATCTGTACTTTTATTTTTCAGAAATTACTAAGATTTTTTAAATTGTTTTGTTATCTGATGTTTGGCAGTTGCTCATTGATCTTTTCAAACATTCTCTGGCAACAGAAAGAAAAGAATCCTATGGCATTTTTGCTTGTTCATTTCTTACTATAGCATTAAATTGTCTAGCCACCCCAGCACCCACACCAAAACCACAGCAACCATTCTAATTTTTTTTTGTTGGAATCACTTTATTTTATTTATTTATTTTTTTGGTACCGGGGATCGAACTCGGGTCCTTGGCTTGCGAGGCAGGCAGCGGAACCATTGAGCTAAATCCCCAGCCCCATGGAATCACTTTAAATTGAACTCCTATGTAAGGTACAACGTGGTGGGCCAGGGATTTAGCTCATTGGTTCTGCCTGCCTCACAAGTGCAAGGTCCTGAGTTTGATCCCTGGTACCAAAAAAAAAAAGAACATGGTATCCCTTCTTGCTCCCTACTACTTTTTTATAGCAATACAGCAGGCTGGGGATTTAGCTCAGTGGTTTCGCTGCCTGCTGGGCAAGCGCAAGGACCCGAGTTTGATCCCCTGTAATGAAAAAAAAAGAATTGATATATAGCAATACAATTAAATTCCTTAGTATATTAATATTCATAAAAGTAATATGGCATAATACAAATGAGTATTATTAGAGATATATTATGATCAAAAATATTTTCTAGTCTTTTATAATTATTAACATTAATTGTACAATAAATGGGCTCACTACTATTTCCAAAATCCTAGCATTTGGCAATATATATAGCTTTTTTGGTTTGGGTTTTTTGCACAGTACTGGGGACTGTACCACTGAGCTATGTCCCCAGCCGTTTTTTTAAATTTTGAGACAATCTCACCTTTTTTTGCCCAAGCAAGGCTTGAACTTGGCTATCCTTCTTCCTCAATCCCCCAGAGAGCTGGGATTACATGCCTGGTGGTCCATGCCCATCTTGTACAACAGCGGGGGGGGGGGGGTTAAAATGAATTAAGAGATGTTATGTACATGTACCAACTCCCTATGGTGAATGTAATCATTATGTATTGCAAACATGTAATAGTAAAAGTTAATAAAGACACCTTATGTTGAGTCTTGTCTTGGAGTAAATGTGCCTAGATGACATACATTCATTGGCTCTCAAACTTCAACATTACCTTAGAGTTCCCTGGCAGGCTTGTTAAAACTACTGATTGCTCTGCCTTACCTCCATAGTTTCTGGCAGTGCTTGTGCAGTAGGGCCCAAGTTTCCTGGTGCTGTTGAGGCTGCTGGTCCAGAAACACATTCAAGAGAATCATTATTTAAGAAAAGTTTATTGACAAGCCTGGTGTTATGCACTTGTAATCCTGGCTACTCGGGAGGGTGAAGCAAGACCAGACCAGGCAACTAAGCAAAACCACGTCTCAGAATTTTAAAAAGGGCTGTAATATAGATAAGTGATAGAGCACTTACTTGCCTAGCATGTGCAAGACCCTGGGTTAAATCCCCCAGTATTACAAAAAAAAAATTATTTCATCATGGGTAATTTTAGTGAAAAGAGCCTTTTCTTTTCTTTCAAGTTTCTTCCAATGAACCTGCCACGGTTTTTTGTTTTTGTTTGTTTTTTGAGAGAGAGTCTTGCTGTGTGCTGTGTAGTTCAGGCTGGTCCTTTTCTTTTTTGGTACCAGGGATCGAACTCGGGTCCTTGCGCTTGCACAGCAGGTGGCGAAACCACTGAGCTAAATCCCCGGCCCTAGGCTGGTCTTGAAGTCACTTTGTAGCCCTGGTATCCTGTCTTAAGTGCTAAAGTTACAGGTGTGTACCCATGCCTGGCTAAGATTGTTCTTTAGAAGAGAAATTTGTATTTTTAAAAATGTAGGTGACCCTTCACTGCAGTTAATTTTGTTTCATCTTTAGATAGATAATTGCAAATTCTTCTGAGTAAAAATTAAAAGTATTTGTGAAAGTGATTTTGTTTTTATTGCACATTTCCTTTGCCATAGACTTAGACTATAAGTAAGTTAATTTTAGCACTTATTATTCAGTTATGTTCATGTAAGCAGGTTTTGAGTTTTAGGTAAAAAAACCTCATACATGTACATAAAGTACAGAACCTCATGAACCCCTTTACTTTTGTTTTTGTTGGTTTTGTTTTGTGCTGAGGATCAAACTCAGGGCCTTAGACTATGTGCATCCTTAGCCCTTTTTATTTATTTTTGAAGTTAAAAGTTTTTTTTATTAGTACATGTTTGTAGTACATGATGTTTACACTCAATGGGGAGTTGGTCTGTGTACATAATGCATCTTATTTCCTTTTTTCATTCCCTTCCCGCTCACCCCTCCATTTCTGGGGAGCTGTCTTTTTTCTCTTGTTGCTGAGACAAAATACCCGACACCCAAAGTTAAAGGGGGAAATGTGTATTTAGCTTACAGTTTGTAGAGGTTTCAGTACATAACCTGCTGGCCAAGGCAGGGTGGATGGCAGACAGATAGAAGGTAGCAAAGCAACAAGGGATTACCAAAGCTCTTTCTGGCCCTTATATCTTATTCAGGTACTTAGGGCGGTAGCACTCACACTCTTAATCCTAGTGCCCTTGAGCCTAGCATTGCACCATGAAATCAACTTCATCGTCCCACATTCTAGATCCAGCTACCTGTAAAAAAGCCCCATCTGTGACCACATGAGGCTTTTGAGGGGACATCTAGACACAAGCTGTAACAGAAGCACTCCAGGCTGAATCTGTTCTACAGAAGCCCACCTAGCTTTCAAAACATAGTGCAAATTTTTAGTGCCTCAGCTGTGTTGTTTTTATGTTTGTGTTTTCCTATTTCCGGTGCCTTCCTGATAGGAATTTTTGGGATAGGAATTTCCATATACTTAAATATCTAGCTCTCCTAACATAAATTTAGTAAATTAGGGGCAGTGGTACTTTGACTTCTGCAGTGAATGGTAGAATTAAGGTTTTGAAATTGTAAGTATGTAGTCAACAGGCTGTAGATCCATAATTTTTTTAAAAAAAATGTTTCTTGTGTGCTTTATGTATAGGTATTCCAAAGAGATGGGAATGATTTGCACATGACATATAAGATAGGACTTGTTGAAGCTCTATGTGGATTTCAGTTCACTTTTAAGCACCTTGATGGGCGTCAGATTGTGGTGAAATACCCCCCTGGCAAAGTAATTGAACCAGGTAAATTTTGATATGTGATCCAGATTTCCTTTATTCTTACAATTTGTTATTTTTTTTAGTGGGTAACTTTCAAAGGAACACCTTTGAACACCTTTCTTGGTAAAATTCTTACATCATTTCCTGTTAAATAATAGGATGTGTTCGTGTAGTCCGAGGTGAAGGAATGCCACAGTATCGTAATCCCTTTGAAAAAGGTGACCTTTACATAAAGTTTGATGTGCAGTTTCCTGAAAACAACTGGATCAACCCAGATAAGCTCTCTGTAAGTGGTGTTTGTTTTTGTATTTTTTTGCTTTTGGTTTTTTGGGGTTTTTTTGGTACCGGGGATCAAACTCAGGTCCTTGGGAACTCGGGTCCTTGCGAACTCGGGTCCTTGCGAACTCGGGTCCTTGCGCTTGCGGTGAAACCACTGAGCTAAATCCCCAGCCCCATGTAAGTGGTGTTTAAATTTAAGCATCTTGAATTTGGGGAAAGGGGGTTGGGGATAGTGCCTTACTCTGTAGCCCAAGTTGGCCTTGAACTTACTACCCTCCTGCCTCAGCCTCCTAATAGACGTGTGACTTTAATCACCTTTACTTTGCTTTTGTGGCTAAGATGAAATCACATAATTTTAAATGTCACTATTTTAATATTTACTTAATTGATGGGTTTTCCTGGTTAATGAAATTGAGGGTTGTTGATTTAAATGTCTTTGGGGCTAAGCAAGGAAGCTGTGAAGGAAGAAAAACAGACAGGGGTGAGGTAGTGATGGACATTGTAGGACTCCCTGGAGAAGCAGATCCCTCACCTGAGTAGGGCAAAGGGGACTCCCCTCCCCCTTCCCTTTGCATAGCTGGTGTTGAATACAGGAAGGTATGTCTGCTGTGACATTTTCCAGTATCGAAATGTGATGGCTAATTCCATTTCTTTGTTTTTAATTTAAGCAATGGATAGGTTGAAGAAAAAAGTGTCTGCGGATTTGGCCTGTTTAAGTGCAAAAACCAATCACTTCCCTATTTGAACCCGAGAGAAGCATGCACCTGGATTGTATCAAAAGGGAAGTTTAAGAAAATACTGAAACTAACTTCACTTTTGTTTGTTTTAATGAAGGAACTAGAAGATCTTCTGCCATCTAGACCAGAGGTTCCTAACATAATTGGAGAAACTGAGGAGGTAGAGCTTCAGGAATTTGATAGTACTCGAGGCTCAGGAGGTGGTCAGAGGCGGGAAGCCTATAATGATAGCTCTGATGAAGAAAACAGCAGCCATCATGGACCTGGAGTGCAATGTGCCCATCAGTAAACTGCAGACAAATTGCACAGGTGGATTTTCTTTCCATATTTGCCTAATTTGTTCTCAGCGATCCAGCTGGAGTGTGATCAATCCAGATGAACTAATGGACATCTGTTGGTCTCTGTGTAACTTTTTAAATTGGTATAGTATCTTACAGAGTGTATAATTTAAACTAACCACAAAGCTTTACATCTTCATTTCGACTGTTCTGTAGCAGAATAAAGCACTCAAAAGGAAACAAGACTCCCTTTCACACCTGGGTTATAAGTTTCAGTCCTGGTATCTGTGCTTGATTTTTATCAGTTCTGTGTAGATTTTATGTTTCATATTTTAAATTTAAATCCCACATTGTAAAGTTTGTACAATTTGTCCTGAAGCTTTGTGTTTGGCTGCACCTGCATAAGCTGCTACAAATAGAATAAAGAATCTCATAGCCTGTATCTATCATTTAGATGCATGGAAAAATGGGCTTTGCACACAATGGGTTTGGAGCTGACTGGGAACAATGGAAAAATTACATTAGCAATGGTTGTAAAGTTTTTTGGGTTTTTTTTAACCATCTTGTGAAAGGTGTCTGAAACTCCATAATAAAAAGCAGTTGGTGTAAATTATTCTTTGTGTCACATTTTTAGAAGGAAGAATATATTTTGAACTGTAAAATGTATTCTTAAACTAAAGAATGTATCCTTAGTTCTGGTTTTTAAACAGTCCATAGAAACCCATTGGCCTGAAGTGTATTCCTCAGGCACTTGCCCATTTGTAGTTTTTAAAGACAAAAGGTTGGTAGAAACAGGCTTTATTGACTTCAATTGATGCGTTGTAGAGTCAAGGACATCTAAGTTGTATAACTTGTTAAGTTATGATCCTGAACATTGGGGCTAGCCCAGGCCTCTGTATCCTCCTCCTCCCTTTTCAAAATAAGATAATAGTGAATTTGTAGTAGAACCATGTTTGCATAGAACCTGTTAAATTGCTCTTTTTTCATTAAATGTTAAGTTAAAAGATGCTCTGTCTCCATTAAGTTGAATACTTGAAATTGGGGGAAGCATTGACTATTTGGTTTTCTATAATGTTTTATAGAAAAGTAGACTCAAGCTGGTATGAGAAAAATTAGGTAAAACTATTGTTATAGTCCTCTTCATCTGATTATTACCTTTTCACTCCCAGAGTAGATATTTTTTGAATGTGCTTATTTGAGGGAAAAGAAACATCAGATGCTCTTTTTACATTGTAAAGCAACAGATGGAAAAAACTAAAACTAAAAATTTTAAATGTATTACACCATCGTGATCCTAAATATAGTATGTAGTTTTTTCTGACTCTTAGAATCTTGATGAGAAAAGGTGTCCTGATACCAATCAAGGCCTGTGAGGTTTAAATTATTGTCCTCTTTACTCTACCTCCATTGTACAAAAAATATTTTGCAACAAGCCTGGGCAAGATTCAGCAGCATAGTTTTGTATTCAAGGTTGTTTCCCCACAACACTTTAAGCATAAGAAATGCAGTGGCAATATAAAGTTTGTAGCCTTTCCAATAAAGGTTTATAAAACCAGTTGTTCAGTGTAGTCTTTCTTTCACTTTCTACCTAGAATTTTTGCTAGACCAAAGAACACTTTTTGGAAGATGGCTAAACACTGTTAGAGCTGTTATTCCACTCACTCTGCTGTGTAGTGTACCTGTCTAAAAAGTACACGTGTATAGCATCACTACAGACTTTTTGGAACAGTTGTATTGAGATACAATTTACATACCACAAAATTTACTATATTTCAAGGGCCGGAGATTTAGCCCAATGGTTCTGCCGCCTGCCTTGCAAGCACAAGGACCCAAGTTCGATCCCCAGTACCCAAAAAAAAAAAAAGTACTATATTTCAGTAGTCTCCCATATATTCATGTTTATGTAACCATCACCACCATTCCAAAAAATCCCTGAATCCATTAGCAGTTACTCCCCATTCCATTCGCTCCCTAATTCCTTGTGCAGTCACTAATTATATTTCTAAATATTTAACATATTTTGGACGTTTTGTATAAAGACATGGTCTTTTGTGGCGATAGTGTTCAAGTTTTATCCTTGTCTATAGCATTAGGACTCCATTTTTTTATTCCCAAATAATATTCTATTTAGCTATACCATACATTTTAGCCATTGAGCAGTTGGTAGTTGGCTTTTTTCCATTTGGAAGCCATCCTGAATAATGCTGATAATGAACATTGATGCATTTTTGTGTGTGTTCTCCATTTAGATACATAACTGGGCATAGAATTGGGTCATGGTAACTTTTAAACTTGTACAATGTGGCTGCACCATTTTATAGTCCTAGGAGCAGTATAAGGTTCTAGTTTCTTTGCATCCCTGCCTCCACTTTTGAATACTGCCATGCTAGTGGGTGTGAAATTTTGATTTACATTTCCCTGATGTCTAATGAATGGTAAGTGTCTTACGTGTTTAAGGTGGTCATTTGTATATCTTCCCAATTCCCCTTTTCTGTTTAGGATACAGTGTATTTGTTAGATCTGCGTAGGTTGCTCTAAAGCCATTTTTCTGACTTATTTTTGTTAACCTAGACACTGGAGGAATACTGGTCAGGTATTTTACAGAATATCCTCCAAAATTTGTCCTCAGACTGATGTTAAGTTTCTAATGAATGGATCAGGTGTTTTTTTTGGTACCGGGGATCGAACTTGGGTCCTTGTGCTTGCCCAGCAGGCGGTGAAACCACTGAGCTAAATCCCCGGCCCGATGAATGGATCAGTTTAATTTTACTTAAGTAAAACAATTTGATGTTACATGTGACAAACTTTGTAAAAGTACATGTGTAAACATTTTAACAGTACATTTTATTCAAGTGAATCAGTGTAGTGTTACTTCAGTGAATCAGTGAGAAATCTGGCTCTCACCATCTGCCATTTATTTAATCATTTCCTCTGTACAGCTGGTCCTTGACTTATGGGTTTATATCCCAATAAACCCATCATAAATTGAAAATACTGTAAGTCAGAATGTTCTTAGTATACCTTATGTTCCTTAAATGTCCTGCAAACACATTAATCAACTTTTGAGCAAAGTCATCTACACAAAGCGTATTAAGCAATAAAGTGTTGCGTATCATGTAATATACCTCCAGAAAACACTAGCAACAAAATGTGGCAGACTCCTGTAATGCCAGCATTTGGGAGGCTGAAGCAGGAGGATTGACACAAGTTCAAAGCCAGCCTGGGCTACATAGCAAGACCCTGTCTCAAAAGACAACTAAAAATTCTCCCAACAAAGCATGCTAGGTATCAGGTCACCTCATGATCATGATAATGTGGTTGACAGCTGTGGTTCATTGTTGCTGCCCAGCGTCATGAGACTATCGTACAACACATTGCTCACCCAGAAAAAGCTCAAAAGGAGAGGTACAGTTTCTACTGAATGCATTTGTTTTGCCCCTTGTAAAATAAAAAAAAATCAAACTGGGCCATCATAAGCCAGTAACCACAGGTACATGCATAGCAGTTTCAGAATTTTTTGTTTTTGGTACCAGGGATCAAACTCGGGACCTTCTGCTTGCGAGGCAGGTGGCTGAATCACTGAGCTAAATCCCTGGCCCCGGTTTCAGAATTTTTAATTTCATGCCCACATGGAAGCAACTGTCAACGAGAGGACAGTGCTAGGTACAGTTCCTTGTATTTTTAATTTTAGGGATGCCATTTCAAATTTACCTAAGTAGCACTTTTGTTGTTTGGGTTTGGGCCTTTCTAAGTTCTCACTGTCCTGAAGAATTAATTAGTTAAGACAAGTGCAAATGGCAATGAGGTTTTACATTTATTAAAGGTAGGAAAAGGAGTATGCTTTGCATAGTGAGTGCAAGCCAGTTAAGATGGGAAAAGAAGTAGCTCTGCAGAGCACAGAGTGGGCCACTGAGAAAGTAGTGGGCCGAGGCTAACAGCTGCCATCTTTTGTATCCATTCAGATAGAGGCTTTCCTATCAAAAACTTGTGAAATCTTTGGGCCAGAAGAGTTGAAGACGGTGCCAGGTGCAGGGCTTGGAAGCTGTTCACTGTGCATTAGAGAACTGGAGGATCCAGTTGAAGCCTGAGGGCGGGAACTCTGGAGTCCAGTGTGAGTCTGTTAGAAAGCAGAAGGGTCTGCTTGGAATGCTGGAGTTTCCACCAGGAACTTGAAGGAATTGGAAACAAATGTCCAAAAGCAGTAGTGAAGAGCAGCACTCTGAAAAAATATTCCTCCTTTCTCTTTTTATTTTGTCCAGGGTCTTCCCTCCTTCATTTGTGGCCTATGTGTCAATCGTCCACAGACACTCAGAGCTTTTCTAATCTACTCGGTGGTACTTAACTCAAAAAGAAGTCTACTTAAGAGAACATAGATTCAGTCATGGAGAATGCCTGTGTAGGTACCTACTGAGAAAAATCACTACTCTGGGTGAAACATCTGCTTAAAGAGGGCCCAGTATCAAGCCTTAAATACTAATCCTGATGTCACTGGGAATTAGGTTTGCCCTGCAGGCAACTGATTGCACTTGGACTGGAGTTGCCAAGGCCCTAACCTTACCCAGGAGTCTAAAGGCTGAGTCTAGAGAGCTCATCAGAAGAGTTGAGCTATTCTCTGTGATGGTTCCCAAGCCTATTGATTCCTGGGCTCTCCAGACAAGCCTGTATTAACAGGGCATGACAGGACAACATGGTGATACCCCATCCCTTTCTTTTCTCTGTCCATTGGTTTAGGAATATATGTCTTAATAGCTGCAACTCCTTAGGTTCTTGGTCCTCTCTGGCTTGGTCTTGGACATGAGTCAGCATCTGATATCCAGAACCATCATTCCAGGACTGACAATGTTGGATCTTCCCTGTGTATCCCAGTAGTCTAGAGCTGTCCACCATAATGGCCCTACTACAGGAATGTATGTTTGGAATGCTACCTTTCTTGCTATCAAAGAAAGAAGATTCCAGCCTTTGTCAGACTCGGCATTATTGAGGCTGCATGACGGGCATGGTGGCCATGCCTGTAATTCCAGCACTAGGGAGGCTGAGAGGAGGATCACCATGAGTTTGAGGCCAGCCTGGGCTGCACAAGGAGTTCAAGGCCAGATTGAACTTCGTAGTGAGACCTTGTCTCAAAAAGAAAAAAAGTTAAAAAAACCCTGAGGCTACGGAGGTGTAGAATTCCAAGACTTTGAGGATAGAGAACCAGCTGGCTGGCTCTGCATCACTCCTGTGGAAACTGCCTCCATACTTTTGCAGTGGCTTCTGTCTTAACGACACTCACAGTTTCCTGATCTTTTCTCATATGTCCTCACAGAGGACCACTGACTACATTTGCTCAACATAAGATTTCTGACTAATATTTGCTAGGCATGAAATTATTAGAATGGTACACATTTCTGTTTGAACAAGACATTCGAAAGCATTACTAGTATGTCGCTATTGATCCACATTCTACTAACATTGATCACCACGTTTATGGCACTGTATACTGAATGAAAAACTTACTCATTGTAACAACAGTAAGGCACATCTGGAGAGTGAGCATATCCAGGGTCTTGAATGAAGAACAATCATGTGACCAGAGCGCTAAGAAATCAGAGTGAGCACAACAGAAATCAGCTTGTAAAAAAGAATACCTGAGCCAGACATGGTCTGTAATCTCAGCATGCTTGGGAGGCTGAGGCAAGAGGACCACATGTTCAAGCCCAGCCTCGGCCAGTTAGGTTACTTAGTGAAAGACAAGTAATATAGCTCAATGTGAAGCCCTGAATCTTCAGTACCACAAAAAATAAAACTTCAACACACAAGCCCTAGCCCATTCTCTGTCCAGGTCTTTAGTTTGATCCCCTGATAAACTAAGCAAAATCATAATCTCTTAGTTCCATCAGCATTGACTGGATCCCTGGGCCAGGCTAGTCATTTCATGTCCTTTTGTCTGCTTGAAAGGACAAAAAGATTACCCATGTCTACTTCTTGTTTTGGTAAATTCAATTTTATTGGAATATAGCCATGCTCA